ATATGATAAGATTGATAACTAAGTTGAGCACGAAGCTCCTATCTAAAGGCAGAAGTGCCAGTCTTATATAGAACCTTCGTTCTCGTGGAGCCTACGGGGAGCCCAAGATCCTCAAGCTCCAACGCAAGCTCCTGCAAGCTCCAACGATCATGTGACCCTGTCACGTGATACTAACCGAATGAAATCCCTGGATCGCTTAGCTAGCCCAAGCGTCCCTATTTGCTATAAGAGTACTGATAGTGCTTGACCTTTCAGGACGCCGCCTGGTCTTCTCTTATCACGTGAACACGTGATTCGTGACATAGAGCTAATATATTATTAAATTATTAATTAAACGTTAAATAAGAGTATACTTTTAATCTTAACGAAAGGACTAGCCTTTTAATAAGAAACTACTCTTTACGAGCTTATAATAATGATTAGTAGATTTATTATTATTATAGACAAGTAATCGAATAGATTAAACGATATATATAGGCTTACTTAGTTACCCTTAATACGTAAAATATATCCTATATCCTACGTACCTATAAGAAGTTATATAACGTAAGCTATTTAGACCGCCCTTACGTATAGGTAAGATCTAGGCTTCCTATTAGTTAACGGATCGGAAGGACTTTAATCCGGGTTATATAATTCGGTTCTATAGAATTCTAGTGGAATAGAGGGTATAGAATAGAATATTCTAGACCTTCTTAGAAATAGAATAGAATATTCTAGAGAGGGGGGTATAGAATAGAATAGAAGTCTAGTTACCGAGCGCTAGCTTAAAGGGATAAATTATCTAAATAGGATTCTAAACATCTTATATTCCTTAATAAATCGGCCTTAAATAAAGTAATAGGTTAATAATAATATAGGTAAGCTCTAATTAAAGTAAGGGCGGATTCGAAGTAGTAGTTAAAGAGATCGCGCGTTTAGAGTATTTTACTAGTATATATAATTAATGGATAGATTAAACCTATAATCTTTTAAGAAGTAATAACTATAGAGATATTTAAGGACTAGCTAGAGTATAAGATACTACTACTTTATAATAGGTAAGAAGGTAATTAAGATATTATTATAATAGATAATTATTCTATTTACTATAGTAATTGAGTAGTAGATGTATATACTAGACGTAGCGTTACTATTTAGTATTTACTACTATATTACCTTTAGTTTAATCTAATTAAAGAGACGTTTAAGGACTTGAAAACCTTAATTTATTATTATTATAAATATAAAGGTTTATTCTATAGTAGATATCTGTAACGAATACTCAAACTGGCTAACTAAACTTGGCTGGGTGTTCGCTGGTTGGTATGCTATGATAAGAAGAAGACTATCGGGTTGTTCACTTGGAAGTGAACTCGTTACTTGTATCAAAGATGTCAAACTAATATGATAAGATTGATAACTAAGTTGAGCACGAAGCTCCTGTCTAATGGCAGAAGTGCCAGTTTATATAGAACCTTGGATCACTTGGATCACTACAATAACTCGCTGATCCTGATGATCCCCGGATCCCCTGGATCACTTGGATCACTCCATGATACTCATGATCCTAATGATCCAATCACGTGATAACAAACTCTAAGAAATCCTTGGATCGCTTAGCTACTCCAAACGATCCCTA